CCTTAGGTACTTAGAAAATGAAAATAGTGATTACTCCTTTCAAATTTGACATATTACATAGAATATAGTCTACTATTTTCAAACACTTTTTAGCCGGTCTCTTTACCGACTTTCTACATTGTCAGCCGTCTGCCCAGTTTCAATATCTTTTCTTGGACTCTACATTGTATAACACTCACCGTTTCAAATCTGTTCTTCAACTCCTTTGCTTCGTTACATTTTTACAGAAAACTAGCCAAAAAATTTCCCTTCCGTCTTGCAGCTAACCTGTCCCACACAAACTCAAGAACCAAAACAATATCCCCTCGCTCGTATCGACAAAAAAACAAATTTTAATGTTCCTTTATTGCCTAAACAAAAAAATATCCTTTTTTTTGACCCTCGTCTAATAACGAAAAACAACTATTATATTAGGGGAATTCATTTTATTGCGTTTTTAACGAAGAAAACAAATAAAACCTTTTTTTTATCAGGGGGCATCATAAATATTCATAATACAAATTAACAAAATACGTGCGTATTTTAAACTTGTGTTTTACCTGGCTTATATACAAAAGGTTCGATATTTGGAATCTAAACACAGACAAAAAACATCTAATATTTACTTTTGAATCAGTAGTAATATACGCATTTAAAAATCTCGTCAAAAAAACTTGAAATATTATTTCGATTGTTTTCTTTGGTAAAAACAACAGGGACGTAACACAGAAATCTTTTCTATACACTTAAATAAAAAAACCGCTACAAATGAACCAATATTCCAGCTTCAAAGTGCATATCTTTTAGTGGCTAAGCGCATGTACTGAGGAGCCAAGTTGACCATACCGTCAAATAAAAAATCCACAAGGAATCTACGTTCCTGTAGTTGGCTTGTACTCTGTAAAAGGTATATATTAATATATACCTTTAATATATACCTTTTACAAAGGATTTTTAATAAATTTTTTAATATATGGTATACAGCCAACTACAGGAACGTAGATTCCTTGTGGACTTCTTTATATAGTTCAGCTGGAAGATTATCTATTCCGGGTGATTTGTTTCTGGCTAGTTTTTTAACTGCATTTTTAACTTCAAGAATCGTTGATGGTTCCTCTTCCCTCTCGTCTGTTCCCCTTTTTTTAAGCCCTTTTCTCTATTCAGATTGCCGAATATGGCCCTCTTCTAATTCTCGCCATTCATCTCTGTTGTTTGTAAGACGTTTCCACATTGGTCTGCAGCTCTTTTAATATCGTCGCTCCAGCGCATTTACGGTCTTCCTCGTGGTTCTTTTGGCTTCATATGGCCGCCAATTCCCGATTTATTTATTCCATCTGTTCCCCTTAACTTATCATTTTTGTCTTCCATGTTTTCTTCTTCTTCCTCTATATTAAGTGCGTGCTTAAAGTATTCCACCCATTTATTCAATACATCTTTCCTTGTTGTTGATAGGTCACCATTCTGACTTTTGCTTTGATTTATGGTTGCCTTGAATACTTTTCTGTTAATGTTAACTTACTTATAGAATGCTCTGAATTATTTCTCTATGTTGAGGTTTTCTATATATTTAAGTTCCTTATTTAAGTGGTTTCGTTTTTTTTCTTTTGTGTATTCTCTGTTCTTCTCTTCTCTTTGTCTGGTAATTCTCTACAGTTGTTCTAGATCGTCCGGTAAGCTACTATCTCTTCTGTAGTCTCTTTTTTTTTGTTGCGTTCTTGCAGTCATCGTCAAACCAATGATTTTTACGGGCACAATTTTCTGTTCCTATTGCATCTTTCGCTGCTAGCTTCAATATCTTCTTTTATTCTGATTCCAGTAGGATATATCTGTCTGGCCTTCTTCATTTTCATTTTGATTCCTTAGCCTATTGTGATGTTTTCCCACTATCGTTCTGCAATTGTTGCATCTCTCAGATTTTGCACATTCCATTTTTTCTATCCATTTTTATTTTCTTTACGGGTTTTTAAAATTCTAGGCCTTCATGGTAAGATTACTGGACAATGATCTAAGTCTATGTTTTTTTAAATAAAAAACAACCTAAAAATATTTCTTTCTTCTTTCTTTCAGAAATTTCTTTTCAAAATATTGACAATCCCTTGTATTCTTACAATGGAGTGCAAATTTTTTTTTTTATTATTTTTTTATTAATTAGTTTGATGGCCTTGGCCGAGCCAATTAGCCAGACATATTTAAAGTCAAACAATTTTAACAATCAGAGAAATTTTTTTACAATCATGAGGAATAAAACATACATTCATCCGTACATCTAACATGCAATTTTTAATAAATTACACTTGATTTTTTTTTTTTCTGCGCTAAGACATAACACCGATTCAACATCTCGGGGTTACATCTTCCTTTTTATTTTTTAATTTTTTTTTTAATTTTTTTTTATATATATTTTTTTCTGCTATAATACAATGTTGTTGTTGTTTGTTTTGTGACTCTCGGACACTAAATCCATTCGCCAATCTTACAATTTGAGGTGTAGTGTGTGTGTGTGTGTGTGTGTGTGTGTGTGTGTGTGTGTGTGTGTGTGTGTGTGTGTGTGTGTGTAGAGTAATTGTCTTGATACTTAGCAAAGTCGACGTCATTGTCTTTGCTAAGAGACGCTAATTGTATCCGAACGTCTGCGGTCCCTCGGTGTGTACCGATCACACAAGGATAGAAATTATTTTCATTTATTAATTTTTTTTTAATAAACGAAAATTTCCACCCAGGTGGGATTCGAACTCAAGACCTTTAGATTTAAAGGCAGGCGCGTCTTACACTGAGCCACAGTGGGGTTAATATAATACAATATTTACTTATATATAAAGGGTTAGTTTTAAGCTACAATTTATATTTACAGTTTTTGATATGTTCGTAAATTGTTTTTAATATATTGATATCTCTAGTGCAAAATTAACAGATCAAATTTAGATTTCAAAAAGATTAGAATATACCCAACTAAATATGATTATTCATTAAAAAATGTTAAAAATTAAAAAAATAATTTTTGTTTCTTTGAAGATTTTCAAATTTTTTATTCATTTTTCTTTCTTGGTTTATAATAAATTTTACTAATAAATTTTCTTTATTATTAAATACTCAATTAGAAATATATTAATTATCCTAAACGCCAGTTTAAAATAAGTTTGGGTGTCCGGTTAATTTTGCACTCCACTGTATATACCATGAGGTCCATATGTATGGAATAAATTCATTTTTTAGCGTTATTAAGTACTATATGAAAAAATCCTGAAACAAGTCAATTTTTATTCTTAAGTCCTTCTTTTAGTCTTAAGGGATTTTAGTTCCCTGTTTAGCAATATAAAGTTTTTTAAGTTTGGTGCAATCATAACTAAGAAAATTGTATTTTTAAAATATAAAATTTTGATGTCTCTAGCACAAAACTTTAGGTTGAATGAAGTAAAATGTCACATAATATTTAGAATGTATTTTTTAATGTACTTTATAATTAAATTAAATATTCAAAATGACCACTATTCCCTTCTTGACAATATCCGAGGCGATTTTGGAATTCTCGTTCAACATTTTGTATGGACTCTGGGAGTTATTTTGTTAATTTCTTCCGTTATCCTAACTTTTCAATCAGCAATACTGTTTGGTCTATTAAAACATACTTTAGTTTTTAAATATTCCCATAAAAAGATAATCGAAAGGAGTCAAATCGGGGGATCTAGCCGGCCATTCGATCGTCCCTGTCTTCCAATCCACCTATTGGAAAAAACATCGTTTAAATAATTTCTAATTATAAGTGCAAAATACGGTGGAGCTCCATCTTGTTGGTAGTAAATAGGTCGATCTATCTCACTTGGATGATTAACATTAGGAAAAATCTTCGTAATGTAGGCACTAAAACTGTAGGCACTGTATTCATTATTAACATTTCACAAACCTCCTTTTGAGCTCTTGTTTTATTACCACAACTAATCATAATTAAAATGTCTATTCTTTTAGTCTCGGACAAATGAGCCATAATTAAATTTAATACGTGCACAAATATTATTCTCACGTCTTCTAGCAACCTTAAATACCTAAATGACAGCAGCCTACTAGATTCATATCAATTGTTTATGTGGCCTTTTGACCAATATTTTATTATCTTTCAAAAATTTTTTCCCCAATGTTTAGCAGAACAGATACGAAAATACCTGATTATTTCTGAAAGTCTATTTTAATCGGCCAGGCAATATTGCTGATATAAAAGTTAGGATAACGGAAGAAATTAACAAAATAACCCCCGAGGTCATACAAAATTTTGTATGAGAATTCCAAATCGCCTCGATTATTGTCAAGAAGTGAATAATGGTAGTCAAGTTAAATATTTACATTTAATTTTCAAGTTAATAATTATTGTAAAAATCATGTTCTCAGTTATGATTGCACAAACTTAAAAAAAACTTAATATTGCTGAACAGAGGACTAAAATCCCTTTCTAACAAGGTGTCACACGACCCCCTTTGCTATTTAAAATTTTCGAGGGGGTGCTTATAATTCAAAGGGGAGAAGGGATATTATTTTCATACTGTAAAGTGTCAATTTAAGAATAAAAATCGACCTGTTTCAGGTTTTTTTCACATAGTACATATTAACGCCAAAAATGAAATTATTCCATACATATGGACCACATTGTAGAATAACATGTACAAATTGCCACAATAGATGATGCAAAAATAAGATTATTCTAGGAGACGACGAGGTAGAAGAAAAGAAGAGTTTATTTTATATTTTTTGTTTCTCTCTAGTAAAGATATTTGAAAAAAACAGCGTTTGGTATGTACAAAATAATTTTTGTAAACTAAAAACAAAAATGTTTTATTTCTTAAGGAAAAAAGTCTACACTTAGGTAAATAAAATATAGCATTTAGTGGTCAGCGATAGATTTACATTCCAAACGATCTAACTTTCGAAAACCATCAAACACTCATTAGCACTATAGCTTTTAAATTATATATAAAAACCCACACCAGCCGAAAATCAGTATTCACTCTTCAGTGCTTTCTACAGTATTCAACATGTTCAGTAAAGCAGTGGCCATCGTTCTGGTTATCCAGAGCGTTGCCGTTTTTTCGGCACCACCAGGAAGCCCTGATACAGTCGTCACCACAGTTGTCAATGGAAACAGAAATATGCAAGATTTGTTAGATTCTTTGTCTGCTCCAGTGCCAACGGTAAGTTTTTTGCTCTACTGTCTGATATAGATAAAAATACTTTCAATTTCTTTTACAATTACAATACAATGTTTTTAATATTTTTCTGTAACTCTTTTCTTATATATTCAACTGTACTGTCAAAACAAAAAGTAAAAAAACGCAGTTATTTTATAATTGGAATTTAATCCCAATCTGAGATTTGATACAATTTTGGTTCTTCTTCGTCTTATTTTACTTTTTGTATCCAGTTTTCTTAACAAATTTTTTGCTTATGTTTTGTTCCTTATTCTTGTTTTTTTTTCACCATCTTCTGGTTCAGTCATAGATCTAATTAACGGCATTTTAAAATTTTGCTTCTTCTTGTTCTTCGTCTATTGCCGATTCTACTAATGAAGGTTGTCTATAACCATTGCCAATTTGTCTCTATTTTCTACTTTTCTTTAAACCGTCTGTGTCTTTAACCCGATTCAGTGGCGAATGTTTTTCAGCCAGGATATTTGTGGTATACCAGGAGTCCTTTTTCCTTCGATTTTACCCTTCATAATTCTCATTTCTTAGTATGTGCCCTAAGTATGTGGTCAAAAGTTCTCTGTCTCTTTATCTGACCCAGTGCTCTACCAGATTTTGAATTGGTTATAGCATGTTGGACTTCAGATTTTAATATTATTGGAGCTTCCTCGCTAACAATTTGTGATGGTTCCGTTCTTTTGCTCATGAAAAGATCTGTAATATATTTAGTCCATACTTGTTTTATTTCAATTGGATTATTAATAAGTTTATTGTTTTTGCCAATAAACCGGTTAGGGGTGTTTGTTCGTGATTTTCCAGATAATTCTCTAATTTTTTTTGTAAATTATAATGATCATGTTTTTTCTGCAATTCCTCTATTTTAATGCATGTTTCCATCATCCACTTTTCCTTAGCCTCTTTTACTTTAATCCTTATTAATTCATGCTTTTCTCTGTATTTATGTGGGTTTTTCTTTCTATATTTTCTTCTTTGTTCCATGATTTCCAGTATTTCTTGACTCATCTAAGGTTTTCGGCTTTCTTCTTTCTTTTGTAAAGCTTCGTTCTGTGTCTTTATAATAAAATCTTTTATTTTGCTCTACATAATATTCATATTCTCAGTGTTGTTCATTTCTAATGTTGATCTTTCATTTTTTGATTTATACAAGTTGGGGCCTCAGCACGTATTTTGTTTATCTTGAGCAACTGAGTATTCACCTTAGAACTCTGGAATTTTATTATCTTTTTTACCCTCAGTGCCATTTTTGAGACTAAGAAGTTCAGTGAGATCTGTTCCAGAGTAAGTCTTAACGCTTATAATGTAATTTCTACATCTGAGGTTAGTATAAAGTCGATCTGATTTCTAATGCAATTTTGTTTATTATCCTGTGGTGATCTCCAGGTATACAGTCTACGGAGTTTTACTCGAAAACGTGTTTTCATATTCGCATGATTTTCTTCTAGAAATGAGCCTTCTCATGTCAAAATTGAGCCAATCTAGCATTTCTTGTTCTGAAACTATAATACCTAGTAATCACCTTAGTAATAAACTAGTTTTTTCTTAGTAACATTCAGGGATCTTGTATGTTCTGTCTCCTTTAATTTCCTTCAATGCTCATTCGTTTCTTACTAACAAAACCTCATAGTCCAAATGGACTAACTCCTAGTAAATTCTAAATACAGTTAATACCTGTTAAATATATCTCAGTTCTTGGTTTACAACCTTATTACAATTGCTAACATTAAAAATGTGCAAATAACATCACAGGGTAGAATCAACCTGACTTAAAACGTACTTAAAAAACCAACAACTGTTTACTAATTTAATACTTGTTGAATTCTAGACGACCACTACAGGAGGCAAAGTAATCAAGAAGACTACAACAACAACTACGACTACTACTACCAACAAAGACGATGCTCCAGTTTCAGAAGTTGATCAACTCCGAGTGTTGTTAAAAAATCCAGAGTTCGCCCAACAACTCAGAGAATTCTTGTTCCAGTTTTTGAAAATGTACAACGCGTTGCACAAAGGATCAGAGACCACTCAGGTATTTTTCAGAACTAGAATTTTCTCATTTTGTTTAGTAAAGGCAGTTTTTTAAAAGTATTCTTTAAATAATTTATATCTTTTTTTTTAACGTAAGAAGCCTTCCAAAACTTAATTTCAGTCATTATATTCCTATGTATTAGTTTACACACATTGACACCGATTATAAATCTCATTTATTTTTAGACCATAACAACCACAGAGAACCTTGATATACCAGCCTTAATGAACAACCCATCTTTCGTGCAATTCTTGGGTGGATTCTTCGGCAATAGTGTAAGTATCCAGTAAGGCTACAATAGTATTCCGTATATGAATGTAAACAGTGTGCTTTATTAAAATATTTTTTTTAACGTAGCAAAAAACAACTGGAACTGGCATGGCTTCCATTGTAAACGAATTGATCAATGAAGAGAAAAATGCTGAAAAATCAAGCACAAACTCACAAACAACTGTAACAGAAGAATCTGTTGTCAACGGAAATTCTCGTCCCGTCGAGGTTGTTGTAAGTTAAACATTTTTTTTAATATATTCTTTACAACTCGATCTTGTCTTAGAAAAGAGATTTTGATAAATATAAATCCAAGTTTAGCCCGAATTATATAATTTTTATGATTTTAGGTAAAACCTGTAGAAACTGTAGCTACTGGTCCAGACTCTCTCATCGACCAAATCACCTCATCAAGCTCTACTAAAACGTCAAGTTCTACTTCTTCAACAACAGCAACCAACCCTGCAAAGACAGTCATCACCACCGGAACAACGAATTTCCCATCAAGATTCTACACTGACGATGTAACAGTCACAGTAAGTATTTTAAAGGAAACTTCTATATTATCTTCTTCTCTGTTATCTCACTCTTATGCTACTAGACAGCTTTCATGTCATTTCCTGGATATTACTAATGTACACGATCTCGTTAGGGTCACTTCGTGTCAGTTAATGTTGCTTTTGTGTGTATTTTTTGTTCCTCATTCTACTACTAATACCTTTTTATTGTTCCCATCAATCACTTTCCCACAGCCAAGATTAATATTTTTCATTTTTTTAAAGTGTTAATAGCTTCCGATAGGGATCAATGAATGCTCAATGGTTCATTTTGGAACTTATATTGTTGCGCTTGGAAAATTTCTTTCTGAAGTTTGGAGATTAATATCTGATACTTAATTTTGTTCTGTTATTTTTTAGACCAACCGGGAACCATCAGTCAGCACAAGTGAAAATGTACTTAACGAACTTAGGAAACAAGTCATCGGTAACCAAAGAGAGTCCAACAAAGTTGTGTCCACTACCACAACCACCACAAACACCAACAATCGTTATGGATATGGTAAGTCTGTTCTTAATTTACACATTAATTTTTATTACACTTAAGTTGATTATTAAGAAAGGCGTGTGTGAGTTACAGACATCAATCATCATCATCATCATTAGCCGTTTTGAGTCCACTGCTAAACATAGGCCTTCCGTAAATAATTCCAGTGATTCCGATCTTGAGCACCTTAAATCCAGTTATGCTGGATGCGCTTGATGTCGTCCGACCACCTTGTTGGGGGACGTCTCGAATACAATAAGCATCGTGTCTAGGTCTCAATTCTAAAATTTTCTTGGTCCATCTTCGATCTGAATCTGGCAGCATGTCCTGCCAAGTTTCATTTCAGCGTTGTAATTCGTTCAATGACGTCCATAACACCAGTTTTTCTTGTAACTATTTGATTTGAAACTCTTGTCTCTGAGGATTATGTTCAACATTAACCTCTCCATTGCTCTCTGAGCCACTTATTGATTACTTTTCGTTCGTATCTTAATCATTAGTTTTCTAGCAAGAGTTCATGTTTCTGCTCCATACGTTAGAACTGGGAGTATAAATCGATCAAAGACCTTCCTTTTCAAGCACATGGGAATATATGATCTAAAGACTTCCCTCAGTTTTTCGTAAGCTACCCATGTTAGTCCTATTCTTCTGTTTAACTGTGTTGTTTAATTGTCTCTTCCTAATTTAATCTCGTGGCCCAGATACTTATAGGTATACACTACTTGTTCAATTTGCGTTCCAGTAGTTGAAATGTTTTAGCCAGTACAAGGTTGATCATGTACTGTGTTTTGGAAAAGTTAATTTTAAGGCCAACTCATGCACATGAGCTCTCAAGGTATTAAAGAAGTTTGCGGGCATGATCTACCCGGTCTGCAATAAGGACTAACTCGTCTGCAAACCTCAAGTTGTTCAGAAACTCTCCACTTATGTTGACTCCAATATTTTCCACTCTATAATAAAGCGGAGAATAGTTTAGGAGAGATGGTGCCTCCTTGGCTAATACCCTTCTCCAATGGAAATGGGGTTGTGTCGCCATAGTACATTCTCACTGCAGCTATTGCTGTTGCTAAAGACATCAATACACACTTGCTTCTATGAAAATTTTCTACAATCTACAGGCTTAGTAATTAGATAGGTCTTACAGCAGCAACATATCTTTCTGATTTTGTTAACAAACTTTATTTTCATATAGATGAACCCACCGTTGAAATTACCCGCCCATCAGTGATCATCACCAGACCAGCAACTTCCGTGATTGACGACAATGAACAATGGTCCAAAGTAAACACTGTTAGCAACCAGATGAGTGCAGAAGAAATGAGACAACAAGCTAAGAACGCCAAATATCAATTCGCTACCCAAATCGATGACAGCATTTCTGGAAACTTCCAACAGAGAGCTGAAATCAGAGAAAATGGTGTAGTATATGGTAAATACTCCTACGATGATGGTTTCAACTGGAGAACCGTCTACTATGAAGATGATGGCCACGGTTTCACAATTACCAAGTAAGTTATGATACCTATTAGATTTTTTAGTTTTTCTACATATTCTAACATGTATCCTCATGTCTATCATACTTGTATTATTTTTCTACGTGTGTATTAATACACTGTCTTTTTTCGCAGGCAAGACGTCCGCCCATCCCACATCAAGACTCTTACCGGTGAAGCCAGCGTCCAGACCTTGGTCAATGGTAACTTGGTTGACTACCATATTACCGCAAAGGACATCAACAACAAAGTTCCCATTAGGAAAGAAGTATATACTAACCCCGTCTTAATATAATGTAGTGGTTTTATATAACTTTTGTACATTGTATTATATTCACACCATGTTGTGGATGTTAGTTCAAATAAAATTTTGATTTAAAATTTTAAATTTCTGGTTTCATTAAAAATAACAACCCTTTCATATTCAACCAAATAAGTTTATTTTTCTATATATACCCTAGTGCTTATTTGTGAAGTAGAAAATGAGGTGTAGGAAATTCTTCAGAGGCAGTAGACGGGATGCCGCCAATGGCAAAGCGATTAAGCCAGGAAATTAAGTAAGTTTAATATTAGTTTTTTTATATTATAAGCTTAGTATTAGTTACAATTATAATTTTTTGTGTGCCTTTTCAATTTCGTTCCTTGTTTTTCTGTATCATCTAATCTACAATGATTATCCTCTGAATATATAATTTTTCCAACTGCACTGCGGGTTTATGCTGTGGTGTATCGAGCTGTACGATGCAATGGTTAGATTATTGTAGAATCCTCTTCTGCCTTCTTATATTTTAATGATGACTGATGATCTTTCGCTGTTTAACGATGTTTAGAAGTTCTCTTCGGGTATTAGCTCTTCTTAAGACTTCTTCATTTCTAATTTGCTCGACCCATGGGATTTTAAGCAACCTTCTGAGACACCGCATTTCGAACCCTTCAATACGGTTTATCAATTTTACTCTAAGTAACCAGGTCTCTCTACTGCTCATTATTATTGGCCGTATTTAGTATTTTAGGAACAAGGAGATCCAAAGGAGCTTCAAGCTGGTGAAGGTAGTTATTAAATCTGGAAAAGTGTTTCTAGCTATTGCTACCTGTATATTCACTTCTTTATGACATTCCGACTTACTGTTTAAGGTAGCTCCAAGATATTTAAATTTCTCTGTCTATAAGTTTTTCAACTGTGCTTTCATATGAGAGTATCTGCTGATTATCATTAACTTCGTTTTTGTGATGTTATTGTTGGGCCATGTTCCTCTCCCACTGTATTAATATTATTTACCATCTCTTGTAATTCTTCTATGTTGTCTGCTATGATAGCTGTATCATCAGTATACATGCAAATTATTTATGGAATTTCATTTATTTGAATACCTTTTTCATTCTGGTGTATCTATTTACTTCAAATCATAAACTGGTTAACCTTATTTACAATACTGAGAAATAGAGAAGAACTGTCACACTTTAACTACAATGGCTTGTCAAATTACCTCTTAAAAATCTAGTAGAGAACAAAAAAGAACTAACTTTTTCCAGTTCCTCTCCTACACGTGATGTAGCATCACTAAGTGCTAAGTAAACTTTAAATTAAATGTCTGTTTTGTCCTTTTGATTGTGTTCTGTTTGTCCTAAGTGTTTAATTGTTTTAATTTTAATATATTTGACATCACAATTTGTCTGCCAAAACAGAGAGTAGAAAGCCAAAACAGAATTCACGTTATTATACTGTACGATTGCAGAAAGCTTTTTCCGCAAGACATCTCTTTGTGTTTCCATTTTAAATTATGAGCTATTGCTCTGTCTCATGATTAATTGCACCTTTTTTAATTTAGTCTCACTTACTACTTTCGGATTCTGCTTCATTTTTCCAGTGTGCTATTAAATGTGCATCTTTGTTCAGAAGTTCGTATGCTAAATTCAAGCTAGTGTAATAGTTATCTGTAAAGAGAGCGCTACCTGAATATAAAAGTGACTTTTCATTAAATGTTTGCTATTTTCTGGTATAAATTTTAAAATTGCATGTGTAAGCTTTCACTCCACACATTATAAATAATTTCACAGCGTATTTTTGATGCTTCCCCGGTATATATTGACGAAAGTCTCAGTCCTCCTTGAAAAGGAATCGTCTCATCTATACAGACATTATTGTCAGGAACATAATATGCTGATTGGAACATCTTGATTATCAAATTTTGCAAGGGAAGGAATTAGTTGAGCCTATCATCTGAGGCAATTTCGTTTTTTTTTTTTTGAAGTACAAATTGGACAAAAGAAGCTCAAACTTTATCCTGGACTTGTGAAGAAATTTTCAAATTTCACTTTTGTACAGCTATTGATTGGTACTATAATAATCTTTCAAAGTGGGTTTACAATTTACAAACCTATCCAAACCAGAATACGTAAAAAAACAAAAATTTAGGATTGATTTGTGTTTCTCCATTATCCCAATAATGTTGTTTTTGTTAATGTTTCATTTGTAATTCCTAATATTATTTTCTGTTCAGTATATCTGTTGGTTTCCTCGGCAATAAGTGATAAGATTTCGTTGTTAATAAATAATTTATACAAATTAATTGGATGATCTTCCCTCTGCGAAAAAAACTTTGGGAAAATCCTGAATTTTCAAATAAATTTATACAAATTAATTGGATGATCTTCCGTCTGTGAAAAAACTTTGGGAAAATCCAGAATTTTCCGTCAAAGTAAATGTCTTCAAATTACCTAAAAAATTATAAACAAAACTCAAAACTATAAAACTTACATTAGGGTTATTATTAGTTATTATTATTTAAAAAAAAATCAATTAGGTCAGAATCGTTGTTGAGAGATTCTAGATCAGATTCAAATTCTAACTCTTCTATAGAACTCGATCGTCTATACAAAACTGTCCATCATCATCATCACTAATAACTTCATTGCTTCATTTCAGTCAAATTCTCCGCTATTTCAAGTAGTTTAGCATCACTAAATTTTTTATTTGTCATTTTACCAAATTTTAGAAACAAAACACAAGAGTAATGTGTAAAGTAAATAATGCAATGAATAATACCTGCAAGTCAGAAAATGGTCGTAATATGCCTTCTGCTGAAGACAGTCTCAAACTGCTTCGACTGAATTTTAATAAATCGGTTATAGTATGGCCATCTGTTGAATAAATATCTAACTGCACCGCCAGAATTTAGCAGTAAACTGCAGTAGCCTAGATGCGCATTTAAAAGCATCAGAACTGTGTTCACCAAATATACACACAGCTTGAAATATTACCACTTTATGTGCCAAATATGGTACACGCAGTATCCACAAGTGTTAATTAGGACACTAGGACGGAAGAGATCAAGGAGTTTAAAGAAAGCAAGATCGACGTACTAGTACCAACAGAAACCAAAAAGAAAGGAAATGGAATGGAAACAATAGAAGACCATATCCACTGCTAGAGCGGAGTTTATAAGGAATGTAGAGCAAAGGCAGGAGTGGAAATACTAATGAAAAATAAGTGGAAGAACAGAAACAAGAAACAGTGATACTCGGAGTATATGCACCAACAAACAATTCCCCTAGAATAGAAAAAAAAATCAAGAAGACATATACGAGCATATAAAGGCGAGTATAAACAAGCAGCATTCGAAACCCTTGGAGAGAAAGAAAATGTAACAAATAAACAGCACTGTTATGAATTAAATGAACAACCAAAAGAACAAAGAAATCATCGAAGAAAAAAAGCAACTATACAGAAAATGGCTGACCACAAACAACGATGAAGTTTATAAAGAACAGAGAGAAAAAGATGGAGAGGTGAAAATACAAATAACACAATAAAAGAATTAAGAAATGGGAAAGAACCTGTTTAAATATTGAAACATACATAGGAGGTACAAGAAATTCGGAGTCATGAAGTATTGAGAGGATTGAAACAAAACTCAAAACGAAAAATTAAATTGGGAAATATACAGGGACAAAGAATGGAAGGACTTATTACAAGGAACTGTTAACAGAACAAAGGCCACAATTTATTGGAAAAGAAAACAGGCGAAGACGAAGCAGATCCCCACAACAAGAAATAAAAATAACAGATAGGGAAATGAAAAGGTCATAAAAGCAATCAAAAATAAGAAAGCACGGGACCTGGAGGTATCTCACCTGAGCTTAATAAAGTACGGCTCAAAAAAATTACACGGATGATAAAATGGATATTTCAGAAAGACATAGGAAGATTATATGGAAAGATGTATGTATGTACAGCGTTAAACAGACCTTTTAGGCCCATTGCTGAATGGATAATTTCCATCGTTTTCTGTTCTTAGCTACCAGCTTCCAATCTCTTATTCCCATCTCACTGACATCTTCCATCACTACATCTCTCCATTTCTTTCTTGGTCTTCCTCTCTTTTTTTTGCCCTCAGGTACTCTCCAAACAATATTTTTGACTAGTCTATTACCTTTGCATTCTTTCTAGATGACCAAGCCATTCTAGTCTACGTTTTTCCCCACTTTTGTTATTGTAGGGTTAGCGTAGAAATGGTATTACTTCTGCATTAGTTCGTCTTCTCCATTCTCCCTCTACTACTTTTCCACCAGATATTCTGGAAAGTATCTTTCTTTCCCATGCTTTCAATATGTTCTGTATGGTGTTGTTCATAGTCCATGTCTCTACAGCGTAAAGCATTGTGGGTCTAATTATAGTTTTGTATACTTTTACATTTGTATTACGAGATATACCTTTGGCCTTAATTATTTTATTTATGGCTCAGCACACCTGTTGCTCTTGGTCTAGTCTCAGGTTGATATTCATTTTCTTCCTTACATGTCTAATCAATAAGGAGTACCTAAGTACATATATTCATCCACCTTCTCGAATTCTACACACTGATCCAATTTAAAGGATCACCTGGGTTTATTCCTTTTTTGCTCGAGATCATCCATATACTTCATTTTATTAATATTAACTTTCAGTCCATTTTTGAGCTTTCTCGAATCTTTTTGCTATATTTGATAGTTTTTTTCCATTTCTTGCAATGAGAACCACATGAAAAGCACTTGTGCTGAAATGTTGAATTCATTAGCAATTGATCAGGATTTGTTTTAGCATAAAAATTTTATCGGTGTTGATATTCCTTTCCAAAATCCTTCCAGGTATTCTCCTAGATTCTTGTCTATGTATATTTCCAATCGTTTGTTAATTAGTATGGCGAGGCACTTTATATATTACCTCTAATAAGGATATAGTTTGCGCATTCAGTTCTATCTCCTTTTTGTGTATAGGAATTATAATTGACTTATTCCATTCTTGAGGCATTTCTTCGGCATTCCGTACTTCTAGAATTAGCTCACCAGTTTGTTTATTAAGGTCTTCTCC